TTATTATTTTCAAGTTTAAGGATAATGGCATTTATTTTCATTAAATTGATAACTACCTAAATTTTATATGTTAATTGTTTTAAAGGATATTTGTTTTAGGTACAAAATCTTGAGTAATTATTCAGGTACAACAGCCAGTTTTATTCTTGTTTTATAATTGAATATTCATGCATATCGACAAGCTGGCTAATAAAACTGGTTTTATTAGAGGTTGACTGAAAAATTCCCAAAATGTATTCATTTTTCTAATATCTAACACACCTTTGTGTATTAGTGTAGTATGGTTGCACCAGATCTTATTATGCACAAAACTCCTGTTTTCTCCTTACTGATATAAAGTAACCACATGTTTTTCTTTGGTAAATTTTCCCTTCTGTTTGACTCACTATTGAGGTTATGAAAGCTGATTAAGGTGAAAAGTATAGTTCTGTTCTAGAATTTTTCTTTTTTGGGTTTAACGTTAATTTTTTAAGCAAATAATTTAGCAGTACGAAAGAATGGATAAAAAACAAATTAGTACTATTCCATCTTTGTATTTAAGTAGTTTTGGTTTATTAAATTGTAACAAACTAGTGCAAGCATAAATCACTTTTAAACCGTTGTAAGTATATTAGGTCTATGTTTACAAATGATATTATACCTCTCTAATAACAGAACTAAGACTAATGTACCATCAATTCACTTACTTGTACATATTAGCACAGTAGCTCTCTTTGATTCCAGCTAACTTTCTTTGTTTCTCAACTCTCAACTAACTTGACATTACATCACAAAAAACCACAACTCCCTCTAGCTAAAAAATAAATTACAACATTAAAAATATATATTTTGTAACACTGCCCCTTTCTAGATTGTTAATTCCCTTCAGCAATCCTTACACAAAATAAAATAAAACACTACACTAAATTGTTCATTCACCATGTCTTTTTGGTGGTTTTCTCTTCTGAGGACCTTGTTGTACAGATGGAATGGCATCTTGCTCTTTGTTGTTGCTAAGGGAGTTCTCACTCTGGGAAGATAGTTGGATGAACCCACTGGCAGCTCCATTCTTGATGATCCTCTGGAAGCATTCTTGTCAGGAACTGTAGGCTTCTCCACAGGTCAAAGTTCTGCTGATAAGTTCTTCTCTGGAGTTACCCAGTTAGCTGTTCCCTCACTAATGTACTTCCAAATATAATCACTGTGGATGTCTTTTGGCTTCAATTGTCTATTCTCTGAACACTTACTTAAATCTGAAGACTGTACTCTCTTGCAAAGAGAATTGTTCATCCATACCATGTCACCTCAGTGGAATCCAGTCTTAACAGCATTCACACCACAGCTGTCTTCTGCTTTATCAATAGTTGATTTAAGTCTTTTCTGGGTGAATACATGTTTATATATCTTTATTCTTCACAACCATGAGTTTTCCAACCACCAATTCCTCAGGACATGCTGAAGTATTTGGTTCCACCATGCCCCACTTACTACGTAAAAAAATATTGTTAACAACTCTTGGTCTGAGTATTTCTCTTCTTGGTGATGCAATGATCGCTGTCCCTGTTTCAAAAATTCAACCTGTGGTGTAGTAATTGTCTTGCAAAGGAATTTCCTGGTCATAGACTATGAAGTTACTTGAGTTAAGCCTAACCTCACACCCATGTCTCTGCATGAAAGAAGTTCTTAAAATGCACTCTTCCTCCATACAAATTGCTCAAACATTGTGAGGCATAAAAAAGCTTCCTACAGTAAGAGTAACTTCCCTTTTGCTGAAATTTTATGTTTACCTGCTGTTTGCATCAACCCATCTTCTTTTTTCATCTCTGGAGGCAATTTCCCATTTTTCATTAACAAATCAGAATGAATATTTGTTGCTGTAGAAATGGTGTCAGTCAGCATAAAACAAGGTTTTTCATCAATAATCCCATGGACTTGTGGATGATTTTACTTCAAATGATGAATTTTTTTCTCATTCATGGAAGATGGAGTATTGTCAGATAAACTTCACTTTATAAATCCAACTAATTCCTGTTCTTGATGTCTCAGTAGCTTTGTGTTCCTTTGATCTGGTTGGGCACTGTCTCTTGGGTTTGATGACAGCTGATGATATATTACAGTCTTGACTGTTATGGCCAGGTTTTTTACACTTATGAAAGTTACCTCTTTCTAGTATCCTTTGAAAACCCTTATTCTATACAGTCCTTTGCCTGCAGTTTCTGGCTGTATGTCCATTCAATTACACTTGAAGCATCTATTGTCTTCTGGCTTATTTCCTCTGTTCTGTTTAACTAGTTGTCTAGTTATTTCTTCCAGTTCTTTAGACTATCTTTAGGGAACATTGATGTTTCAATACTGCATTATTTAATATTCTAGTAACATCTAGATGACTCTGTTAGTAGTTTATCTGCAACTTTGAAATATTTCAGTTCTTTCCCTAACTGCAGCATTTCCTTTAGATATGTACATTGACTTTGCTTCAGCCTGATTCTCATATCTTTGTCTATTCTTTCCTATCTACCTTGTTTTAGAGTCTTGCTTTGGGCATTTCTTTCTGGTGTGATACTACAAACATGTTAGATAAAGTTGCTACCAATGCTTGATAGTTGTTATGGCTCCCAGCTGGAAGATTACCTAATATTGTCAAAGCTGGTACTTTTAAGTGGGCAGCAAGATGGATGGCTTGTTAATCACTATTTTACCCATTTACTCTAGAAATGACTTCAAACTGAGCTTGCTATGACTCCAATGGTATCTTCCTATCATAGTCTGTTGGTTTCTCGATTGGCCGTTGTTGAATTGGTTAGCTAAACTCTGGACTTGATAGTGTTATGACTGGAGTAGCAGCAGTGGTAATAAGTGTAGACCAAATATGTTCTTCCACTCCTTACTTATTAGTAGATTGTGTTTTTAGTTAGAACTCTTGAGCCCATGCAGCAAAAGGTGTGGTTGGTTTAGTTTTTACATTTTATAATTCATTTTCTGGATGTCTTATTCTGTCACTGTTCTTTTCTACTCAATGATATTTTTCTTTACTTCATTTCTGACTTCATCTATGTACTTTTGTACTTCTTCAATCTCGTCATTACAGTCTTTTCAAGCCTTTTCAATCTTATTGTTGTATTCCCTTTGTACATCCCCAATATTTTTATATATATTGTCTTCAATTGCTTTGATTTTTATTTTCAATTCTTTAAATAGTACATCTCTTACTTCTAATTTGCCATCACATTCACTTTGGTCTTTTAATTTCCTGTTTCTTGACCTTGATATTTGTTTATTTTTCTGTAAATTTTTTCTTGATCTTGTTTAAATTTTCTGTCTTATTCCATCTAATCTTGTCTTCATCATCTTGAGTAACCCTTGAATCTCACTACTTGACCTTATGGTCACCAACTTTAACAGTTAAGACTCTATTTCAAGTATATTCCAAGTTCTGTTTTCACCAAAATAAATCTCCACTCCTGAGAGAAAGTGTTGTGATATAGCTCTTCCATTGGCAGGTTATTTTAAATTATCAGGTGAAAATACAATGTCCAGTCCACTTAATGAGACAAAGTTAACTCTAAACATTCCTAAAAGCTTAAACCACTTTTAAACACTTTTGGCTTATGTTTACAAATAATCTTATACCTTTAACATCAGTACTTGGACTAATGTTCAATCAACACCTATTTGTACAAGATAGCGTGATAATCCTCATTAATCTCAGCTAACTTGATGCTTCTCAAAACATTTTTTTTTAATTTACCCTTTTCCTAGATATTTTTAAGGCTAGTATGAACTTAATGTCATATTACATCATCAAAAGTTCTCTTTAGCTAATAAATAAATTACAAGAAGAAATATATCGCTGGCAAAAAGTATTTCATGTTGTGTGTTTTTAATATTATATCAATTTTATAATTTTAGCTGAGTGAAAGGAATGGCTACCATAGCACCACTGGTGATACAATCAGATTTCATGGTCCGTTTATAAAAGTAGAGGACATTAATAAGTAAGTATGATCATGATTAAGTCATATTTTGTAAACCAAGTTTATGAAGTTGATTACACTAATATGATAAGTTTTATTTGTTATTAAGTAAACCAAATAGGATTGTTAAATATAATGAATAATTGTTTAACAGTCTGTACAGAAAAAATTCAACGTTTAAAAAGTATTAATTTAGAAATGAGGACTTAAAGTACGTATGTATATATGTATTGTGCATGGAGTTCAAAAAACTGAATAGATTTCTGAGTAAAGTATAAACAATCTAACACAAGTGGATTTATCGATAATCACCATAAAATAACAGATAAAAAATAAAAGACTTCCCAATGTAAACTTTTTTATTTGTAAAGATGGACAAGATATTTAAAGGTCTTTTCTTTTAAGTTATTTTATATTCTTTTATCTTGCGTTTTTATAATGAATTCTTTTGACGAATCTGTTTTGGATTAGTCTTATATTTGTTTGATATTGGTTTTAAGATTTTTGTACCAGAAATTAGTTTTAAATGGAATAATCTTTCAGAGGAAAGGTATATTTTAATAAGCTTTGTAACTCTTTACAGATACTTACTATACATAAGAACACTAATAAAATACATATTTAATATGGAAACTTCAGAGAAAGTCAATGTCTGGACAATTGAGATTCTCAAAATAAAGATTTGAAGTGTTAAAAATGCTTTGTCATTCATAGGCTGTAAAATGATAAGTCTTATTTTAATTAGTTTGAAGCTTTATCAATTCCTTTGTTTTTATTTATTTAATTTTCTATATTATTGCCAAAAAGTATACACATAAAACTTGGTTATTGTGTATGGTTACTAAACACAGATATTAGCTGTCTCTCTGTAGTGATGTAGTGTCTGAAAAATGGGTAATTTTATTTTTTGAGTAATCTTTATTTATTTATTTTTCTTGTGTAGCAATTATAGACCACAATACAAAAATCTTGGACGGTGGCCTGAAATAAATTTGACCCTATTAAGAGGATCTTGTCCATTCCCAGCTTTAAAGCCTAGTGGTCTAAATAAAAAGCAGACAAGTGACTTTGTTATTAGAAAAAATAAAACTACTGAAAACAGGTTTGAATGTTTATTGTATTGTAATCTTTTTTTTTTTTTTTCAGAATAAGGATCAGAATACAATTTATTTTATGTTCACATGATACAGAATCTTTGAATTACAGGGTGGATTTTTATTAATGAAAATCCGTTATTTACATTTAATTATATTGAAGCAAGAAAACTGACAGAGTTTACCTAGCTTCATTTTATTTGTTATATGTATTTTTTACATCTCCAGTGTTTAATGGTTAAAATTTCTAATGTGTTTTCGGCTTAATACCTCAGTGCAATACCTAAGTGAATAAAATATTGGACTTTGTCTGCAGGATCAATTCTAAAATTACCATAATATGGGATATTATTACACTAACAAATACAAAATGGTGGTATCTACTAACCAGGATTCACTTGAAAACTGGAGCTTTATACCATAGTTAAACTACACTTGTGGTATACAGGCATACGTCATGTTTCCTACACCATTATTTAATATAAAAATATATATATATTTACATACGTATGTGTGTATGCTTAATGTAGAATATCTACAATTCCGTCTCTGAATTAAATCTAATCAAAACCATCTTAGGTGTGAAAAAAAAGATGTGGCTAAAAAAGGATTGAGCGTGCGACTTAAAGGAATGAAATTAAAATTGGTGGCCAAACTGGTAGCTACACTTATAGCATTGATAAGGATTTTACAGCAAATATTCATTCAATAGTTAGCCAGGTCACATTTTTTTTCAACCTTGGGTATGATGGTGGGTAAAATAAAATACAAGATGTTTTTTATTAGATGTCATGACTTTTTGTCAATACACACCAACAAACCATAGCAAGTAAGATAGTGACACATGATAGTAACCAACATTAGCTTTAGGATCACAACCCTATTATTTGGAACAGATGTATACTTTACAGAAACAACCAGATTCTTTAAAATATATTAATGTAGTTTTTCCTCTCTTAAAATAGTGTTAAAACTTCCTTTATACTAATGCCATGGAATTTAGATTAACAGTTTCTTGTCATCCCCCCATGCAATTGGTACAGCTGTATCAAGCATCATTATTTATGCTAACTGCTTAAGCTAATATCACGTGATGCTAAATGCTCTTTAATTAGGATAATTTCATAAAATTTAGTAAATTTGTGCTGAAAAGTTGGCAATGAATAATAAACATCCACCTGTATGATTCTTTTTAAAATTTGAGCTATAAACTGTTAATCTAGTTTGCTTGGCCTAACCAATATTTACGTATCTTTAAGTCCTTTTGCTTTTAGTTTTGCCACTCTAAATCAGCCGTTTTTAATACTAATAACAAAAAATTTAAAAACGATCCAATTTTACTATTAGTTGAAGCTGTATTAAAAATATTAGGCCAATAGTTCACGTGACTTTTTGCGTAGACAGGATCAGAATTTTTTGTTGAATAACTTTGCACAGGTGGCTTATATTTACACCAAATGAGACTTCTAATTCTAGGTTGCAAAGAACTATCAGTGTACCAAATTTGAAAAAAATCCATAATAGTTAAGTATGTTTTTCTATCAAATAAAGTTTACCTGTTGCAGTCTGTTAGTGACTCAACAGTGAGTCTGTGGACCTATAATGCTAAACATCGGTTTTCAGTACTAATAATGAGCAAATCACAAATAGCTCATTGTGTAGCTTTTTGCTTAACAAAAAACAAACAAAAATTGAACTGCTAATAATACTACCATGATACTTTGAAGTTTTATTGTTGTTAGTTCCTCTAACTGTTGTCCAGTTATTGGATTAATCACAGTTTTATAGCTTTTGTTTTGACAATTGTAATCACTGCTATCATAGTCAGGTTGTATTGTGTAAAAATAGTACTGATTATTCATTAAGTCAATCAAGTTAGTTAGTGTAATTGACCAACAAGAGTCTTTATGTCATATAAAAAATAGTGCTGAGTGGTCAGGATGCATGAACTGTTTGTTTTGCTATAAATATTCAAGGAAATGATGAGTTTACTTATACTAAACATGATTGTTTTAAATACAAATTGACAGGAAAAAATTAAATCCTTAACTTTGAGCAAAGTAGACATAAAACAAGAGCAATAAATATCAAAATTGAAATGACTACAGGCTTGTTATGCTGTTCATGAAAGAAACTCTATCTACTTTGATGTATTCTTTCTTTAGTTCTTGATTATTTGTTTGCTTCATGTTTGAATTGCATGCTAGTTTTACTAGTAAATGTTTTTCCCAAAAATACATGGCTTTATGGTAAAAATGGCCAGGATGAGGATCCTGAGATTGTTGTGTGTGTTTTAAATAATGATTGTTCCACTGTGTTTTGTAGTGTATGTAGTTTCTTTCTTTTCATCGAAGTTGGAGAATTCAGATTTTCACTCCACAGTACATTTTCTGGCAAGCCTCATGCTCTTTTATAGTTCCTACGTGATTACTCAAAGGGATGTCAGTGAACTTGAGAATACTTATAAAAATGGCTCATTATCTGTGAAACAAAAAGAAGAATTAAGACAAACTCTGATTACTCAAAGGGATGTCAGTGAACTTGAGAATACTTATAAAAATGGCTCATTATCTGTGAAACAAAAAGAAGAATTAAGACACTCTGAAGAAGGCATATGTTTAAATAATTGGAATTGTTTTTCAAACAGAACATATATGATTGACCCTTAATTACCAAAAATGTCTGATATTAATATTGAATTATAATAACACCGTTTTCATAGATTAGATGAATCCCCATCTTTAGTGGCTAGTTGGAAGTACATCATAGACAGCTAGTCATATCTATGGGTGGAAGAGTTCTGCGTTAGGTATAGAATTTCATACTGCTGCAGTTTTGGTAGGAAAATTCTCAACAAAAATAAATTTTTGGATTTGATTCATGTGGATCGTTTTTTGGTTCAGTTTTATCCTCGAGTCATATTTTTAATGTACTCACATGTCTGCACAGTGATTTATACCATAAGCTTATTACCATTGATTGTGCATGTGTTAGCAAAATTAGAGGGAGAGACTTGTTTGTGAGTGCTCAAAAAAAATTTTCAGTATTGGCAGAATTTTCTACTTCCCACCATAAATATCTAATCGTGAATGTGCTATCGTAGAATATACAATAATTAGATATATTTTTATTTTCTTTAATTTACTGGTTTAGTTACTGATACGTATATGTAATTGTATTTAAGGCCTGACATTATATGTTATTCTCAAGTAGAGATATTTGTAGGAAAAGTAAATTATCTTAGCTTTCGTAACCTTTTGTGTATGACTACTTATAATTAGAACAGTTTTCACTAGTCTCGCTAAAACAGTTACATGTTCACTAATCTGAAATTCGTATATCTGTTATATTAAAACCTTAAGTTGTAAGTTATTCTTAAAATGATCTTTAAATATTTTGATGTTAATCATTTAAAGCAAATTCTAAAAAAAATTTCTTCTTTGCAGTAAGTTCAACCTTAAAATGTTTTCAAAACTTCAGCAGAGAAGAACACAGCTTTTTACAAGTGGATATTGTGAGCTTTGTAGTTGTCATTATGCCAATCAACAAAAGGTACTGAAATTGATTTCATAAATGTATTTTTGTGTAAATAGGCATATAAGTGATAATAAGTTTGATACTAAGTTATGTTATGTCTTACACCAGCATGTTAGATTTCATTACTAAGAGCATTAGAAATGTTGAAAATGTGTGTTTTGTGGCATTACAGTATTTATTACACTGTAGAGCTTACATTTTGTATTAAGAACCTATTTTTTTGCATTTTGTAGTTATAATATTAAATTCTTATACAGGCCTTTTTTTTATAAGTAATTTTTATAAAATATATTGTTTGTCCAGTGTATTTAATGATTTTTTTTTTGTAAGGAGTTAGTTGATTTAATTCCTGAAAGTTTGAACTTTGAGTATTTCATCTTTTAGTCTACTAGTAGAAACACTGCCCTACAGGGGGGGGGGGCTATTTATGCTAGCAATTAGTAATCATAGTATTCATACCTCATTATGAAAAATTAAAAAAAAAAAGTTAACATTTTCTAAAAAAGGTATATTTTGTCTGAGAAGTACTGCATGGGAAAAGTGTTTGAATTGTACTTTTTAGTCATACACAACACATTGCATCAAAATGATTCAATGCACAGAGCTTACAATTTTCATACATTTTACTGATATAGACTACAATGTTTTATACTTTAAAAGTGCTACCCTTTATTGAAAAAAATTAATTTTGTTTTTAAGAACTTCAGTTTCTCAGTACTACATTTAAATATTACATCAATAAAGATATAATCAAACCCTCGCTTACAGATCTAGTCAAAGTCGTGTTCTTGTGAGGAGAGTACTTTCATTTAAAATTGTGTTCTGTTATAAAGAAATGGTTGTTACAAATATCATAGTTATTTTTCTAAATGTCTGAATCTTGAATACCTAAAGTGTGAAAATTTCTACGGATCTTTGTTTGTGGTGCCATTTGATAGATGGCACTGTTACATGAGCTTCAATCATCACTTCTGGCATTGAGATCTTGTATACCAGCACAACAGATGGCACCGTTGTATATATTATTTCTGTCACATAGATATATAGATGGCCAGCCATTGTTTCATTACAGTAAGATTTATTTACTCTAAAATTTTAATTTAACAACATAGGTCAACATGGAACTATTTTTTCCTTTAAGGCTGTCCTTGTACACCCACCCTTAAGAGAAGAAAAAGTAAAAACTTAAATCCCTCTTTATTTTTCAAGAAATTATTGATTCTCCTTTTAAGCTTTTGTAAGAAGCCAGCCAATTATCCTGTGTCTTTGCTGTCTTGAGAATATAGCTTAAAGAAATCAGAGGCTTTTATCCTATAAATCCATAGATAATCTTATAAACTTTGATAAGAAAAAATACGTAAAGAGATCCTAACCTGTCTCCATAAGATAATCCTTCCATCCCCAGAATCATCCTAGTAATGCTCCTCTTTAAACCAGAAACTTTGTTCCTCTAAGACTGTTCCTGCACATCCATCCTTTGAGAGAGGAGAAACTAAAAATTTGATTATCCTTTTATACTTGTAAAGAAACAGCCAGTGGCTACTACTGCTAACAGTTAATTGTTTTATAAGCCAATTATCAATTAATCAAACTTTCTAGAATATTTTCTACTATAGAAGATTAACTGCTCTTTAACTTCATGGGCAACTCCTATCACCTCTTCAAAAAATAGCAGTAACACTAGCAATTCTCCAATCCTCAAGCATTTGCTTACTCTCTGCCGAATTATCAAAAACAAAAGAGAGAGCTTTGGTATCCTTTAAAACCCAGGAAAAAATCTTGTTTTTTGTTCCTGGTACTTTATCTGTTGTTACATTTTAGTCCTTTCTTTCACATGATTTGGGTCAGGGTCAGTAATATTGCTAACATACTCTATTATGTCTGTAGTAAGCTAATTAAATTTGAGTTTATCCGTTATCCTTTTCATCATTATAGATAAACATGCTTATGTTGAATTAAAAGCAGTTTATTTAAAAAAAATTCAGATCTATCCCACATCACCTTTAACTTATTATTTCAATCCACTGATGACAAATCTTGTCTCCTGGTCTCACAAAATTGGTTTTTTGAAAGTTAGAAATTAAATGATCATCTTCCCCAACTCTTCCACACTTCAGCTCTGCAATCACATCTTAATTATTAGTCAGTTAATCTAAAGTTGCATTCCAGGTGGTTAGGGACTTGACTCACAATTTTTGTCTCACCAAACATGCTTGCCCTTTCAGCCGTGGGAGTGTTATAATGTACAAGTCAATCCCACTATTAATTGGTAAAAGAGTAGCCCAAGAATTGGAGGTGGGTATTGATGACTAGCTGCCTTCCCTCAAGTCTTTCACTGCTAAATTAGGGATGGCTAGCGCAGATAGCACTCGTGTAGCTTTGCACAAAATTCAAAACAAAACAAATCATTTGATAAGCCTTCTGAACCATTTGGTATAGAAAACCACAAAATATTATGAATCACTTCAGGAAACCTCTCACTACTTGACCCTATGCAGTTCCAATCAGTGTATCTAAAATCAATATTAAATAATTATTGGGTCATGAGCAACTACCCTGACCTCATGACACAATTTCTTTGAATTCATCTATCATATCAGGTGGCTTATAACAATTAACAGTTAAAAGCATTCTAAAAAATAGATAATTATTTTTATATATGAAAACGAAAAAATTTTATGGTTTAAATGCTAAAATCGAAAAAGCATTAGAAACCAATAATCATGTAAAACAAACAGATTGGAAGGAAAGTGGTAAAAAACCTATCTCAGTTTGTTTAATTTTAATCACAAATTTCAGACCTACTGGTTTCTGATACTTGCTAGCTTTCATCTTTTAAACCATAACTTTTAAAGTACTGTACTATATATATATATATATGGCATTTCAAAGCATCTATTGTCTCCAATTGGCTATCCAAACTGATGAACTCTATTATTGAACAAAAGACCTATTGGGCAGTAATTTTTGGGATGCAAAAGGCTACCAGCATTTTTGATTATTTTTAATAATATTAAGCTTTTGGTTTTAAAACAATCTTAAATTGTTTTTTGTCTGACTTACAGCACGTGACTACTGAAAATCACAGGGACTTTTTATTAAATTCTGAAAATTTTAAGAATCTAAAGAAGGAGCTTGCGGAGTTGTCTTCAGTACAAAAATTTCTGTTGAAAGTGAAAAAGACTATACCAAATTCGTCCCATATGTCTATTCAGTCTCCTTTTAAGCAAAGGTAAGCATAAGTAGGTTTAAGTTTATTTCATATATCCAGTCAGGTCAATTGGAAGTTTATATAAGTTGAAAAAGTAAAAGGTAGGGCCTTCAGTAACAAACAAGATCACATAACTGTGAGCTGGCACTTATTTTGCATAAACATGAACTGAATAATACCATTGGTATTATTTAAGAACAGTACTAGGGCTTTGTAATAGCTAAAGTATAGAAAACTCAACTTATCATTAATTATTATAAGCAATTTATTTTGTATAGAGATGATTTGAAATACACTTTGTGTCTTTGTAAAATTGTAGGTATGCTATTCCAGATGAGATAATTTTACTGTCAATGTTAATCATTTAATGTTACATTTAGTTATTATAGCATAAAATATGTCTGCTTTGTATTACACCATATTTCATATGAATTTTTTTCTCCTTTTGTAAAGATGTCAGGCTGGCCATAAGCCCATTATGTTGTTAATATAGTTAGTAACATATTTAATATAACTAAACACTGGTAATTATTAAGCAGTACCAATTGTTAGCTATAGTAATATCAGGCCTCCCAGTGACCTATAAAACCTCTTAAAGCCTACATTCTAACGTGATAACTCACCTCTTTACACAGATTAGTTATCTTCATCATCACAGCACGACTGCCAAAGAAATTTCCATGCTACTAGCCTTGAGGCAACTCTCACCTAATTTCACATGATTTTATGTGAATTGCACCACTGCATGATGATGTCATAATGTGGCAAAAGCCCTCCACCAATAGCAGAGTGACACACTTCCATGTTCATTTACTTGCCCTATGAATTTGCACTCATAAATCTTCATTCTTCTTTTCAGTATTGTATTGTATAAGTATGTTTAAGTTTCTTGTCTATGTTAAATTTATTGAGATTTGCATTGTTAACAAAACTTTGATTTTTGTTTCAAAAACTTTAATTTTTTTATTATGAATTCTCAAGTGCCGGTGATTTATACTTATTCTTGAATGTGGGAAATTGTTCGCATTTAGTACTTATTTCTGTTGTAGCTTTCGAAGGCTCATTAATTGTCTGGGTTGTTGCAGCCATTGTTCAAGGTATTGTGGATTACCACATGCTTAATTGGTTTCCTGCTCCCATCTCATTGGCCAAATGTTTTTCTCCTTAGTTGGGAATGTTCTATTAGATTACAACCTTCACCTGATTTGCTTTGGGTAGTATTTTCCCTTTTGTGAAATGAATTTAACCTTTCAATCTCTTTCTGGATTTCCTTCTCAGGTATGTTCCTTTTCATCCTCTCTGCCTGTGTTTTTTATTATTTTTCAATTTTTTACTTTCTGACTCGCAAATCTTAGGTTTATCTTGTCTTATCTCCTTGCTTGTTATTATGATTTATACTGTTTCCTTTATCTAATAACTCTTTTCTCATGTTCAAATGCCTCATCCTCCTCATGTTTGTGACTCCTTTTGTCCTAATTTGAGACTTTCTTCCCTTCTTTTTCCTGATTCCCTCTCTTTGTTTTCTATGTGGTGGTCAGCTTGGGGATTGAGCTTTTTACCTTCTATTTCACTTTCTAGTTCCCTATCTTTGTGTTTTTTGTCTTATTCACTCTATCCTTCTATATTTCCTCACCTGTCTCCATCTTTTATCTGATGGCTTCTGTAGACATTCATTCTCAGCTCTGTTTGGCTTTTTCCACTTCTTCTGTTCTATCTCTCTGTACTTTGTTCCCTGCTGTTGGGGCTCATTGAGTTGAGTTACATTCCTCTTCACTGTACTCCTTGTGTAGTTATTATTCATCTGATTCCCTTTTGTTAACTAGATATCTTCAGTGATGTTTTTTTCTCCTGGTGACCTGGTCTGATGCTATATGATTTCCATCCCTATTATCTTCCAGGTTTTTTTTCCTCTTTCTCAACCTTGCCCTCTATTCCTATTCCTCATCTAGATCTGTCTCTTTCCTACCTTTCCATTCCAGATTCCAGGCTCTCCTCTGTTATTTTTTAATTATCTTACCATTTGTCACTCTTTTTGCCAGTGATTATCACATATGTATGTTTCTGTGGGTACTTTTCTCCTGTTGCTGGTTTCGATTTCTGCTGACAGTCGTTTTCCATTTCTACACCTTAGTCTCCTTCCTCACTCTTCTTTTCACTTTTGTTCTCACTTTCTTTTCTCCTCCCTCTGACCCCATCTATGGTCTTTTTTACCCCGGTCTGCAGTTGGCTGTGGTTGATGTGTCATCCCTTTGTTTTCTTTGTCCTGTCCATTTTTTTGTGTCTTCCCATTCTTTGCTCTTCCCTGTGACATCTCCTTTCTCTCTTTTTGTATTTGTTGGTATTGTGAGGGTCTTTGCCTGTGATCTATGTCGTATCTGGTCATCAGGTTTTAGACTTTTTGTTTTCTCCCTGTGTGAGAGGTTCTTTTGCCTTTATATCTTATTCTGTATTTCCTACAATGAACCTTGTGGACCCAAGGTTTTCTTTCTTGGAGTCCTTTGCCCCCCCCTTTCTGAGTTTCTTCTCAAGGAATTGGCACGATAACTGGACCTTGCTCTTATTTCTTTCTTCATTCCCTTACCACCACTCAAACCAGATATCTCTTTCTTCAATGCTTCTCTCTCTGATTGAAATACTTTTTTCAATGAGGACAAGACTTCTGACATTTAGATGCTGAACAAGAATTCACTTCACATCAACATACTTGACCTTTTTGCTCTTTGTTGAACATGTTCCCTTTTCTACCCCTATTGATGACTCATTTGGCCATGTTCCACTCAACCTATTCCATGGGCTTTTCCTGCTTCAACCATCCTTGTGACTGCTGTTCCAGGGTGTTTTTGTTTTGGGTGTTAACCAAACACTTCTGAGCCTCTTCACATTCTTTGCCAGGAGCTTCAATCTTGATGGTGGACTGCTTCTCTTGGCCAAGCTATTCTATAAATAGAATATTCTCTCCACCCCAGACCTTCTATGGAGCTAACACTTGGTTGGACATGTCCATGTTAGACGATTTTGACACTTTTCTCAACTCTGGGCTTCTTCTCTTATGATCTTCTATTCCTCATCCTTAGGCTCTGGCTGTTGATTTCTCACTCAGGCCTGGTCTTACCTCTTTCTCTACACATACTTCTCTGTTCATCTCCTCCTTTTGGGCCTCGGATTTACACACTACTCCTTTTGGGGCACAACTGTTGGTGTCTCTTTGACTGCCTTAGCCTAGGACCACTTGATATTTGAACTCCCCCTTCTCTTCTCATTATCCCCTCTCTCTTGCTTCTCATTCTCACACTTCCCTTCTTTATTGAGGGATATTCTCTCTCCATCCTCATGCATGAAATTTGCCCGATCTGTCACCTATCAGGCTGTAATTTCCACTAATGTGGTATTTTTGTCACATTCTTGTAACCTTCACTGTATTTGTCTAGCACCATTTCTGGTAAGTCTTTGTCTTTTGTTCTTCAGCCACTCCTTTCCTTCTTGCAGTAATTCTTTGCACCACCTTTCTGCCTTTCACACTCAACTGTTTGTTGGTGGATTCTCTGTCTTAGCCTTTCCCAGTTGTCAGGTTGCTTTTCTCATTTCCTGCTAACCAAGAGGTGTTTTTTTCTCCTGTCCTCTCCTTTATATTTTGCTCCTTTGTTCTCCTCATTCCTCCTCGTCTAACTCACTTGTCTGACTGAGACCTTAATGTGGTTTTGCATGATCTATTGCATACCTATTTGAGGTATGACTTCCTGATTTGTGTACCATCTATCTCTTATGATTACCATTGTTCTGTTGTATTTCCTTTAGATGCATCTTATACCTTTTCCACTGCACTTTTATTTTCCCCTCCATAGACTGATCCTTACTTACTCTGACTGACTTTTACTGCTCAGGAGGTACACCATACATCTCCCTTCAATCTCTCTCACATATTGGGTCATTTACACCAAGCTTGAGTCCTGTTGGGCTGTTCAGTGTGCCTTATCACAAACTTTTCCCTTTAGGAGTTCCTGTCTATCTGTCCCACTTTTTCCATGGACCTATTTCCTTCTTCCCTAACTGGATGGGTCAGTGAACTCCTCGATGACATGTTCATCTTGGGATGTGGATGTTCACATACTGCTTCCCATTTCTTCATTATTAATTTCTCACCTTTTTCATTTTCTTACATATCTTCTTTGACAGCCCTTGGATGAGTTCTTCCTGGTGGGTATGTAGACTCTCTCCACATTCATTTCCTTCTTTACACCTTCTGGCTGTTTTATCTCCTGATGGTTCTTGGCTTCCACAGGTTGCCATTCTTTAATCACCCCACCATCTTTGGGAAGAATACATATTATTTCTCTTCCAGAAACCCTATTTCATTACATAGGATCCCATGAGGTGACTGGTTGTTGTCTCTCAGGATATACTTACCTGAAATCTGCATGAAGCCAGGATAACAAAAGTGCTCATACAATCTGCCTGGCTCTACATGTGCCCATTATGAGATGGGGTATTCTGCAAGGCCACTTGAAGTATCCTCATGGTACATATATCTATATTCACTTTATTGTCCGATCCAGATCGTACCTATTCCAGGACTATCATAGAAAAAACCAGCACTAGGGAGATGTTCTACCCACTTTTTTGGATTGCATTTGTTGGCTTGTAAAAATAGGGATACATGGCAACCCATTGCACTGTCTCCAGATGAGGATCCAGGCACTTTCTTTGGGTCTCCTTTATGTGAATCCCCTCCCCCTTTGTTGATTGGAGCACAGGAGACCCTTGCCACTTACTGGTTCTTAGTTGCTGGAGTGGTGGACCATGGAGAACCCTCACTGATTAGAACTCAACCAATGGGGTTAGAACAAGGAGTACAAATATGATGAGAAGTGGGGTGGTAGTGACACTGTTAGTGTAGTACAGGTCACCCTTTGTATAAATCAGATACATCACTCACGTCACCCGTGCCTTCCTCCTGCAGCCGGAATCTGTTCAGTAGAGTCGAGGTGTGCACACATTAAATAATTGTGACCTTCTCCTGTAGC